TTAATTGTATATGATATGGTCTATTGAAATAACAAAATTTGTTGCGAGTGTGACCACAAAAACTTTCAATAGGTAAATGATAATTAAAACAAATTAGATTTAAATAAAAAGCATTAAACTCGTGGTTTTATAAAAATACTGCAAAAAACGTATCCTTCTAAGAGTTGGATCATTTGCTTTAGAATTAATGCAGAAATTTAAATCAATTACTGTTTCATTTGTATTATCTATTCTTAGATAGATTTAAGAGTAGAATCGTGACTGCGTTTAGTCCTTGTCAAATTTGATCTTCTTAAACGCTGTAACCACTGTTGTTTCAAGGCTCCAGTTTTCGGAAATCTGTAGTAAAATAAGGTATGTATATATTAGTGTAGTATTTTAAAACGGCAAATAATTGCTATTTTTTTTTAAATAAGAATGTTATCTTTCATTAAGGATATATCTTACGAGAAAATCTCATAATCGTATCAGTATTTCCGAGGATTTACTATATTAGTATAGATAACAACCATTAACATGTATGTTAATAATAATAAATTATCAAACTAAGATTGTTTTCTACTCGGTGCCTCAGATCTTTATCATCAAGATAGTAGAATATAATAAAATTGTGTTATCGATATAGAAATGTACATCACTATACTGAAAAACCATAACCTCTACGGTGTCAACAAAACTTCAGATAAATAATGCAAAACTGTCAAATGTCCAATTATCTGGCATTATTTATGAATTATGAATACTACTTTTATATACTATTAGTATAATAATAAAGTTTTAGGTACCTAATTCACATATTTCAATAAAGTAGAAAACAATCGTAACACACCGACGCAGGTTGTTTCTTGAGTATTTCATCTGTTTGAGAATTCCAGCTTACGTTTACACATGATTTTTTATCAAAGACGTCTTTTAATTCTCAGGGCTTACTGTCACAAACACTGCTATGAATTTTCTTTGATTAATACTATATTATTTGTAATTTTTTTCTTAGAGAGATACCAATTTACGTGTAAGTAATAATGTCATTATCATACTATCAAGTTGTTATTTATTTATGCGAGATTAAGAGAATTTTGAGATGAAGGTTTTAGTAATTTAAAAACTGTAAAACATTTTAATTTACAGGTAGTTTGCTTGAGACAACCTTGATAAGTAAGAAACAAATATGAATTTATATTTTTGTGAACTGCCCTGACTATTTAAAATATTTAAATATTATAATTAATTGAATGTGTTAGTTTTTGAATTCGATAAAACGCATCAGATTTGCGGTTAACGGTTATTCATGTAATTTTTGAGAAAGAATTATCGCTTAATGGAGTAATAAATTAATCAGTAGACTAGCGTTTACCCACCTGGGGATATATGGGAATATAACCTACGTATGGGTCTCCGCAGAATCTATAGAACGGCGAATAAGCATCTAGAATTATAACTCAATGGTAATATTGACTCAAATATTATAAATTTGGTGCATCAAGAAGTCAGAATTGTGTCACATTAACGTGTTTTATATGAAAAAAACCACACATCGTGACCGAGATCCGTGGGACAGACGGTTAGGGAATGCTACTGATTCGCGGTAGGTCAAGAAATCGAATCACTCGGCTACGGAGTTATTATGAATTAGGTATCATTAAGAAGTTATCACATATTTAAAGACATAAAAACGCTACCAAAACAACATGCATGAAAAGAGTTACATATATAATTTACTTATGGCGCTTCAATTCCTACCGTCTACCCCGCAAGGGATTTATCGTGAAGATAATAATTCATAGATTATTTTGGGATATAAACAGAATTTGTTACATTTTTAAATAAATTTTGTTTTGTCTAGATTTCGTTTTAAACACAGTTATATTTATAGCTTACGGAAATTGATTTCGCGTGGCGATTCCAGCGTTTCAATTGAAAAATGCTTCGGAACGTATCGGCCGCGTTCCCCGGAGCATTAAATAGGTCAGTGTACACGCGCCATTACCCAACCTAGTATTGCTTATTGCATTACTAGCTTCGAATGTTGTTTTAACAAAAATGAAGATTCTGAATTCTATTGAACGTGTTTATTATGTGTTATCCCGATAAGTTTTTACTATGTATTTGAATACTATTATTATAATCTATTAACAGTTGATATTTTATTCAAAGTCTCGTCTATTTTCTCAAGTTATTAGTGATATGAGCTTAAGTTTCTGTTCGGCGACCGTAGACTTCCAAACAAATGACAGAAACAATAAGTCACGATGGCAAAACATCACAAATGCGCCTAATCTAAAAGTAAAAAAAAAAATATTTAGATGAAGACATAATAATATAATCTAAAGATGCAATCACCAACGTCGAATATTTTATGGACAACGTAAATATTAACCCTTTAGATTGAAGATTAGGTCGTATCGACCCGTTTTTATTGCGTAGAAGTGCGCACTTATCACTTTTGTTTGCTCATCTGAAATAGGGTTAAGTGTTTATTCAGTGGCTCCAGCTTGCGGGCGTTTGATGCGATTTTATACCATGACCTCTTGACAATAAGGATGTGTTTAAATCGCATAACCACGTGATGTTAGATAACTTTGATGTTTCTTAATTAATTAAGTCTCAAGTAAAGCCTCAAAATACGTATACTTATTGTAACAAGCTGAGTCTTTTAAAATATTAATTCGGTTACTTATACTTTGGTAATAGAGTAAAGGCGATCGATTTCGCTAAAGTTCGATAGCTTATAAAATTATAGATAGGTTATATTATGATAGAGGACATATTAAACTCTGATATAGGGTAGGTTCAAGCTCCTCGACATAGTAGGAAATTGATATTGTAGTATTTTAACTTTATGATTAATTTACACTGGGGTCTGTCATAGGATAGGTGGCTGCTCTGTGTTTTGGAAAGCAAGTAAAGCATTTGGCAGAGCGCGCATCTGTAGCAGCCTCCTAGGTATGCAAGGTTTGTAATAATAACTATATTGATATATCACTTCACAAAGCTAATTAAATTTTATCGATATATATCCATTTCTTGATCTGGATAAAATCTTAAGAAATTTTTATGAAGTTAAATAAAAATAATAATGTGTAAAAAATTTACTAATTTCAAATACTGTTTGCAAATCACAATAATATCTTGCAAGAAATATTATATACTAAGATCCTATGATTTATACACTACAATATACAAACTTCTTAAATGTCATGTGTAAAGTTCAGCCGTTGGTTATTAAAAACTCAGGTTAACTTGGACAACTGATATACATTTACTATTTCGAGTTCATCCGATATTAAGTTTCGATATTGATATATCTGTTTCCTCAATATCGATATTTTGGGCGTCGATATATTTCGTATTATATATAAAATAATACACGTATCTAATGTTAAGTAACTATTTCCATAATTTATTGAGAATAACAATTCTGGATTCGACATCTCGTCGCCAATTTATTATATATAAAATAATACACGTAACTAATGTTAAGCAACTATTTCCATAATTTATTGAGAATGACATAACAAACTGAGGTTGCTAAGCGATGCATATCTGACCTAATATATGACATTTCGGTTTCCGATATATCATTGCACCCATACCGACTGCATCCGCCCGACGACTGCGTCCGCTGAAACCCTCGGGAGTTGACATTAAAAATTGTATGGAAATGTGAATTTCCTTTAGCACAATGTGCTACCCCGTCATTCGGTTGCTGATGATTGTCCGTTAGTGTCTGATAAACGTGATGACGATATTTTATCTTTATTTTCCACCTTTGACGTCGTCAATGCAGGTTTCATATTACAGGTGTTGTTATGAAAAAATGAACAAAGGAAAGATTATTTATTTCGCTCGTGCGCTCATAAAGTAAGCGAGAAAGTTGCGAAGGCACGTCACACTATTCATCTCGAGCCATGATTAATGTCTTTGATAACGTTCTTGTTATTGGCACAGAACTTATAATACCTAAAGGTGTTTTATTTTGTTTATAAGTATTAAAATCGTTGTAAGCTTGAGTTTGCACTAACTATCCTAAAAATTCTTTTACCTACGGGAAGCTACATCATAGACAGGTGACATTGAGTACATTTTATGAAGGCATGGTCGCGGAAATCCAGGTAGTAACAAATGATCCAAAAGAAAATTTTATTGGATATTATCTTTGACTAGAGATCTTGTAGGTAAATATGAATTAAGGTCGCATCCTTTGATTGCAAAGTTTGCCATAGTCAACTTTCATTATAAGATCCTGGATATAAACTAAATATTTGTCAAGATAATTCAAACGAGCCCAAACGCGGTTGGTTGCTTCGTTTAATTATTCACATACATTCCAGCTCAATCATCAGATCCAAATCAACATTCCATATTATTATAGTATTGTCCAAGGTAGACGTGTGCATACAAAATTTCAGCTCAATCGATAACTGCGAAGTGGATCAGCTTGTAAGATTGAAAAAGGCCAAAAAAAGCTAATATTTTATGTTGCTCATAATTCAAGTACCTATAGATAACGAGTCACGCAGATAAATTCACAGGCACAGCTAGTATTTAATAAATTTATGGATTCAGGTGAGTACAGTACCAGATAGATAGTTTCCATGTTAAAAATTGTATTATAACTATATCAATGATATCCAGTTACTTAAATGTTTTGGATATTATTTTTTATTATTTTAATAATGATTTCATAAACCTTAAATGGTAACGTTTGTTAGCGTCCATAATCAGTGGACCACGTTTAAAACAGGTTTTGGTTGTGTTCCACTTTTGTTCATAGAGGTATATGGTTCATCCACGTAAAAAGTTTCACAATCTGCCAAGGGCTAAAATAAATTATGAAAAAACCTACTGTCATCAAAAAGATTTGACATCGCTTAAACAAATTAGACAGTTATTTTGAGATAATTATTTACTTTTGTGTACAATAAATAATGTCCAATTAATTAGGATTTGTTTAGCTTACTGTGTATTTTACCGTTAGTTTCTGTTGTTTTCATGACGAAATGTCCAAAGCGATCACTCGGCTACATAATAGCAGAGTGCTATTATTGTTGAAGCGCAGTTATGCTGAAAAACCTAAAGAAAAAGGGAAACCACCATCACCTGCAAAGCAAGTGGACCCTAGAAGGGTGTTCAAAATATACAGGTATGGTGGAAACCTGACGAAAGAAAAGCCGAAGCTCCAAAGTTACGACTTAGATGTAAGCACATGCGGAAAAATGGTGCTCGACGCCCTCATCAAGATAAAAGATATGGACCCATCGGTCACCTTCAGAAGATCATGCAGAGAAGGCATTTGCGGTTCCTGTGCTGTCAATTTACAAGGATACAATTGTCTCGCTTGCATAACCGCTATACCTCCAGATAAGACCATCACGATATATCCAATACCTCACATGTATGTAATCAGAGATTTAGTGGTCGATATGACGCATTTCTTCAACGGATACAACAGCATACGACCTTATTTGATCACGAAAGATGACTCACTCGGAAGGTTTCAGTATTCGCAGAGTATAAAGGACAATGATAAGATGGTGGGATTGTATGAGTGTGTTTTATGCGCATGCTGCTCCACATCTTGTCCTAGCTACTGGTGGAATGGGAGAAGATTCTTGGGACCTGCTTCCTTATTGCATGCTTATAGATGGGTTATAGACTCCAGAGACGACGACACGTATAGGAGGTTGTACGATTTGCGAGACGACTTCAAAGTATTCCGGTGTCACACCATTATGAATTGCAACCTTGCCTGTCCTAAAGGTCTGAGACCAGCCGTTGCCATAGCGAAATTGAAAAGGCTGGTTGCTCATTTGGATAAAAAACCGCGACCCGAATTCGATCCTTTGAAATTCTCTTCGGGCAGTGCTTGTTTGAAAAAATAAAGCTAAAATTGAAAAGCAATTTTTGACATAAAATTATAAGTATATTTTGGTACGTAACTTATTTTTTTTAATTAATTTTAATTTAAAGCCCAAAATTGTTGGTGTAAACCAATATTGTCGCTTGGAGACGACCAGTTTATTTTAATTAAAATTATGGTTACATTTTATTTGTTTAGTTAAATGTAGTTTTTTCGCTTTTTAATTATTTTATATGAACATGGGTAGCGTTAGATTATAATTTTTTGATGCTTTACTTTTCTTTGTTTTTATAATATATTTTAAATATTTAAAAAACAAGATTTTGAATCACATTGTAATGGATAAAATACAACTCTTATTGAAAAGTTCTTGATATCGTTTACCAAAATTGTAAACGTAACTAAACTCATAAATATCTACAGAATGTGAAGCAGAATAATGCCTTATTATAAATTGCTGAGGTATCAAAATACGGTAGCATTATTACGAATTTTGGAACTTAAAAGGGCGGGTAGCATGATTGATGAGTCTTGAGGTTATTCATACTTTATATTAATGTTTGTTAAGAGTTATTTAATTCAGGAAAACCCTCCTATGAATACAATACAACGGTATTTGAATAACAGATTTTGTTAATGTTTTTTTTTATTTATAATGGGCAAGGCTCAAGGACATAAATGAGATATACGGTGGGACGAGAACTCAACCTATTTTTCATTATGCGAGAAGTTGTATGATTATACGTCCTAACTTATGTTATATATGCAAAAGTAACTCTGTACATCTGTCACGCTTTTGTTCTTTTACGCTCAAATCGCTTAACAGATTTAGATGAAATCCCAATTATTTCACTCCTACATTATACGTAGATATACGAGCTAAGTTATTAATGTTAGAACCACTGATTTTTTATAGGTACATAAATTTACAAAGAATGAAAATAACGACGGTTCAGTATTGAGAGGTGAAAGAATTGGTTACTGGTTATACTAAATAGATAAATCAGTAAAAAACTACACAACAGATTGTCATTCGAGTATGTTTTTTAATTATGTTTATGTAATATGGATGAAGTATAATGATTATTGAAAGATTTGATTAAAATAATGTTTGATTAAAATAAATTAAAAACTTATTTTAATACTAGCTGTGCCCGCAACTTCGTCTGCGTGGGAAGTATTTTGGTAGAATTTTTTTATTCCTATGGATGGAGTCGAATCAAATAAGATCAATGGGCCATAACTTAATGCGGATCGGTGGGTGTTAACGTTGCTGATGCAGCCAGGACTGACGGCTTAACGTACATTGTGCCAGTGTTGTACACAGTGCTCGGGATAATAATGTTTTGGTCACCCATCCTGTCCTTACGAATGTAATTTTCTATCTTTTTTCTCGTTTCTCGCGCTCTGGTTTTCGCTTGTGTTTGAGAATTTTATTCGTAGCTGGAAACTGTCCTTCTTTTGTTTTTGATCTTTTTATTATTTATCTAGTTGTATACACAATCGGCTATTTATTGTTCTTTTTTTCATGTAATGCTAGGTTGCCTGGAAGAAATCGCTTGCTAGCGATGAGTTTATCGTTTGTATTTAGTTACGTAAAATAAATTTTCATGTATATCCTTGTTGTGCAGTATTTTACTCATTTATTTCACTGCAATTTAAATCGAATGCGCTAACCCACTACGCCATCGGACCTCTTATACCTAAGATATACTAATAATAACAAACTACCAAATTTTTCCTCTTTATGAAAAGAGGAAATCTTTCCTCTTTATGAAAAGAGGAAGGATTTGGTTGTTTGTTTGTTTGCATCGAATTTGCTCCAAAACGACTGGACCGATAGTTTCAGAGCGATTCCGACCTACGGGAAGCTACATCAGACGCGGATGTCATAGGCTATAATTTTGCGGTAAAGTCGCAGGAAAACAGCTAGTTCATTACATCCTGTCAAAACTTATCTGCGATACGCCTGTGGAGTATGAAGTCAACATAGGTTGGCGATAATCGAAATTATTTTCTCGATCTCTATTGTGCAAACTGCGAGCTCTTTTAGAGACCAAGCGCATTTTTCTATTAAAGAAAGTTTCATACTCATACCATACTGCATGTACCTATGTTACGATCAGCAGTTAGACGCGCTATGCGATCTTCAGATGTTTCCTGAGATCAAACGCTTGTTGTATGAGTTCTCCGAGAGCTCAAGAGATTGTTCCTGACGGTAAATACTTCAGATTCAACTTTATAGTGCATGAGCCTGGCGTATGAACGTATGAAATATGTTTCGCGTTTTTCAGGTGTCTCCCGAGACCGAGCGCTTTCCGTCCGATCTCTTTCTTTGTCAATAAAAGTCGATCGGTACATGTATGATGGAAGATACGTGGAGTTTTATTTATTGATATAAAAAATATATATACATATTTTAATTTCGAATTTCCACACTCGAAGGAAATCGTCTACTAACACATACTTCCGAGAGGTGCTTAACTGAGCTTCCGTCAGATTTGAACGGCCCTCATCATCATCATCATAAGCTCTGTTACGTCAGCAACTGCAGGAGCCTTATGGATTAAGGAGGATGGGCCACGACCCTCCATGTTGGCCCAATGCGAATTGGAGGATATTAACGACTGCAAATTCAACCGGGACCAATCACTTTACGTGCCTTCCAAAGCTTGGAGTTGCTTGAAATAATATTTTTTTGGTCACCCATCCTGTGACCAACCTTTGCGAAAGTTGCTTAACAACTACAATCGCGAGCCTTGGCGTTTATTCACTACGCCACCAAGCTACTCTGAACCGATCCTCAGACTCGCGTAATATTATATGTGTTGTGACCAATGAATAAACCATTGTTTCCAGCGAAGACTGAAAATACAAACTTTGAAGTACGTATCTTCAGCAATTTGTATGTAAAAAAAAAGAGTATTAACATAAAAAATTGTAATAAGAGAAAAAAAAATATATAACTCGAGTTGTCTTTACGTTTTTAACTTCAGTTGACGTGAATCTAAGTTTTTAACATCGTGGAAAAACTTCTGACATTGTCTCTGTTACCTGGCAAGCAACAGGGATGAGTAGGATTCTCCTCCGTGAACCCGACAGTGAGCTGCCCGGTGGGTCCCCGGAGGCCTACCCACCAAAAATCGTACTCTACACCTTCTCATGGGAAATTAAAACCGGCAAGCTATGGCCGAGTCACCAGGACACTCAAGTATTGGATCATTGCTCCCCTTGCAGATGGAAAATTAGAGAGACTCGGCTAAATCGAGTGCCTCTCCCAGACAGACGAAATCGTGCAATGCGGGAGCGGCTGCCAACCACCTCCGCTGGCCCCGACGACGACGTGAACCTAATCTGATAAAAATATGCGTTCACTGTAAACTACTCGAGGCTTAATTGCATCATCGGAAGGCTCTTTCCGCTTGTTCTGCTACTCGCGTGATCGTATACCACATGTCCATTATAAGCTGAACCCTATTTAATATGATTGGCCATATATAAATGAGGTCAACTTACTTCGGAGTTGTCAAAATTTTGGAATCTTATTTTTTTATTTGTCATCATACAAATTATCATTTCATAGACAATATTAATTCACAGCTCGGTGGCGCTACGGATATGCGCCGCTGCGCACGATCGCTATTGCTAAGCAATTATCGCAAGAGTTGTTCACGGGATGGGTGACCAAAAATTATTAAACAAAGGCCTGAGGCCCTGTAGTTTGGCTGTGAAAGAGATTAACTCTTGATCAACATATCAAAGATGAAAATTTTATAAAACAGTAAATATTTCATAGCAATTTTGGCGACCACGTCACCTCAAATTGACATAACTTTTTTATTTGTGAACCGATTGTAATAAATCTTACCCTAAATGTTAACGGAAGAATGCCGCAACATAATAGTGAAAACTGCATTTAAATAGGTTCAGCCGTTTCTGAGATTATCGTGCACAAACGCACAGACAAACAGACAAACCGACAAACAGACAGACAAAAAAATTAAAAATCATTGTTTTGTATTCTATTACGCTTATAAATGTCCCCTATAACAGTTTTTTTCATATATCTTCAATGTACAGACATAGATCGGTTACGTTTTTATTATAGTATAGATATTAGAAGCAGTTTTTATAGAAGTAACCTTTCAAGAACAGTGATAAAAACATAACCATAAGGTATTGTTTAAACTCGGTCTCGTTTAAAGTCGTCTGTTATATACATATAACGTGTTACGTGTTATCCATACTAATATTATAAAGAGAAAAGATTTGAATGTTTGTTTGCATCGAATATACTTCGAAATTTTTAAAATTCTTTCATCTATGGGAAGTTACATTATACGCGGGTGATATAAGCTATAATCTACATGGGCGAAGTCGCGGGAAAACAGCTAGTTAGTAATATAGTAAAGAAAAAAAGGTTTGAAGCTTTCATTATTTGTACTTTCAGTTTTTTAAATTATTTCCATGTTCTACACGAAGTATATCCGCAATGTCTATCAGATGAATGTACGCACGTAGGCAACGGGTGCACAATACGCAACGGCACGCATAGCATGCAACGGATTAACTGCCGAATAACCGTCCATGATATCTGAATATTCAATAAATTTCTCAATTAATTTAACAGTTTTGACAGAACGCTGCGGAGTAATTATGCTGTTATTGGCATGCTTCGGACTCTTTGCTAATATAATACTCAAAGCTATAATGCACCAAAATATACACAAACACAAGCATAAGTATGCCGGATTATATATGTGTCATACTATGCATGTACATATTTGCATGCTCTAATTTCTTTTTTATAACAAGGCAATTGTAATAAAAGAAATATTAAATGTACCATGGAAGAGCGGACTATTTCTGGTACAGATATTTATTAAATCTAAAAGAAATAGTCCATTAAAAATGTTTACAACATTCTGGTTTTGAAATAATATATATATATATTATAATACGTGCTGTCGGTACAGACGGTACGGAATGTGGACGGAGTGCAATATAAATTCATACAGAGCT